ATAATATATTACATAATATTATGTAAATGTAAAACTTTATGGCAAAAAAATAATAAAAATAAATAAAAAGTAACATAGTAAAAAAATCAATGAAAACTTAAGTTAAGCTTAAATTACAAATTTAGTGTTCATAATTTTTAAGGCTTGAAATGGAAAGAAAGAAAACATTTTGTAGCACTTTAAGTTTTAGCTATAGCTTATTTTTTAAGCAATAGTCGGTTTTTAAGATTTTGAATTGATTTTAAAATAATAATTTCACAAGTACGCTTATATACATGATTCAATGTAATTTAAACAAAAACTTAAACAAAATATTAAATAATAAATATTAATATTTTTGTATATGAAACAAAGCAAAAGAAAACTATACAACAGGTTTTTTTTTTACATATTTAATTTTAGTTTTAATCGTAAAGCTTAGTCGATATATTTGTTATCACAGAAAAAATGTTTTACGATTTACGATTTAGCAAAAGCTTGTTTAGCTTTTTGTCAACTGTGCAGCATTCGCTTCTTTACCACTCTGAATATCATAGAGCTGAGCTTTTGCCAGTCATCACCTGGCGATATATCGATATGCAAGCGCAAGAGCGCGCTCTGTCTTGTTGCCATCGCCAGCAAGAACAAGAAACCGTCGCAACCCCAAAAAGACGCGCGCGTGTTTTATCAAATGCTCCACAATACGTCAACCCCAACCATTCGCAACAATTACCGCTGCCTCTGCCGCTGCTGCTGCTTTCGAAATGGCGAGCAACAAAAGAGCGGCCCCAACCTGAGCGATGCGCTCATGTCTTCAGTTCGGTGCGTGAACCAGGCGAGTGTGGATGCGTTTATTGCGCGAGGCGCCAACAGCCAAAAGAATTACATTAAAAAGCCCAAAATAACACAACAAAACTAAAACGCGACGCCTGAAATTATTATAAAACAAAAGTGCAATATATAGAAACAAAATAAATTCCAAAAGCATAAGAAAATTTTCATTCGTGGTTCGGATATGGTGCACAGGAAAAAGCGTGCACACAAATTACAGTTATAAATGTCTGTGTTGTATAAAGCATAAAAGAAAAAGCACATAGCGCAAATAATTAAAATAAAAGAAGCGCGATTGCAGTTTATAAAAGGCATGTAAGAAAATCTCTGTACACTACAATTTCTTAAAATCAAATGTAGAAAAAATTCCATCTACATATATCAATATATACATATGCCTATACATATATATATATAAATTCATTTATGCACATACATATATTTGTATATATATATATGTATGTATGAAATGGTATAATATTTGTGAGCGCCAAAAAGCCGAAGAGTAGAGCCCAACTCAAACGCCGACGCCAGCGCCAACGTCAGCGTTAATGTTAACGGTAACGCCAACGTCGCGCAGCCATATAAATCGTCTCTCGTCTCGAGTGTGTTCGAAAGTTAACGGTCCTGCCCGACGGCTCGCGTAGTAAAACCGTAGCGTGTGTGTTTTTGTCGGCAAAATCTGTGAGCGTTGACGGCGCCGTCAACTGCGCTGCGCTTCGCTGCACACGGAGCAGCCGCTGCTGTTGCCGTTACAAAGCATTCCTTTTTTTTGTTTTTGGTCAAGTAGCGCTTTTCGCACTGGAGATTCGAAATTGTGAATTTGGCGCGCTAAGCAGCAAGTAAGTGTGACTGAACGAGTCAATGACAGAGAGAGAAAGAGAGAACTAGAGAGACAGAGCGAGAGATTGAGAGAGGCAGTGAAGGATTCAGAGCGCATTCGAAAGAGCAACATTAAAAAGTGTGAGAGCAGCTCTCACACATAGTATATGTATGTGAAGCTGCACTCGTTGATTGCACAATAAAATTACACACACGCACACAGGCACATGTACACAAAAGACAAGCGCTAGAAATCATTAGTATGTGTTTTTGTTGCTTTTCTTTTTTTCGGCTGCAAAATCACATAAATTAGCAAAAGTTTCAAGCGGTGCCATAAATCAAAATTTGTTTGACATTGTGTGCGTGCGCATTATGCTCCACTCTGTGTCTATATGTGTGTTTGACTGTGTGTGTTGCGCGCCCAAAAAAGTATGCTATGGTATTTTACTATTTACTACTACGCACGCTCACACACACACACGCAAACTTCTAAACTGTGTATATATATGCGCTTTGTGTGTATTCGTATAGTATATAATAACGGCATTATCGTGTACTACACAGCCACGCAGCTTACGCAGCTGCGTAAAATCTCAAGGCTTGACCAATGCCTCGTAACCTCGACAAACACTACTACAGCCCAACACTCCCCCTACCCACTCCACCCACTTACCCACAGCTTTGTTCAAAAAACTAACGCACAGCAGCTTCACTAAGCCGTTCACCTACATAAAGACAAAGCTGTTGGTTAGTCTTCCTCTGTGTGCGTATGTATGCGCCTTTGTGTGAAGCCACAGTGGCTGCTCGTTAAATAGAACTTTTTATATCCAGGTATACAATTCAAATGTTTTAAATCATCCATATGTTTTTAATAAATATAATTTAATAATTATTTAAGAAAATGTATTAATACATAAATATCTTTATTTATTTTTAAAATGTTTACTTCAATGTTTTAAGTAACTATAATTGTATAATAGTGTTTATGATTATTCATTAAAAATAAAATTTGTATGTAATATTTCTCTTTTCCAAAGCGATTGTGTGAAATTTCACTATAACGAGTATTCACTGTACCTGGCAAACGTAATCTTTTATTATCCTTGGTCTTTGCTTACTCTGCGTCCTTCAATAATTTTATTCCTTGTCTGTCTGTTCGTCCAGAGCCATCAGCTCAATTAATTGCTGCCTGTCACTCGAGTTGTTCACTTTAAAGTGCATCCTTGTTGGCCTCCGCTTCAGCTTCAGCTTCATCTACAGTTACAGCTGCTTCAGCTTCTTCTTCTTATTCCCCTCCATCATCTTCATCTTCCTCTTGCTGCAGCAAACAAATTATTCTGTGGCTCTGCTGTATTCTTCTCTTGGTTTTTGGCCAAAAACAAATTGGTTTCGAGTACTGCAGCTTGTTGGCAACTGCATGTCAGAGGATTTTGGTAACAGTATAGCCAAGATTGACTTCAACTAGATTTAGCCGGCTTAAAAAGCTTTGGCCACAATTTATGGAGCACTTAAAATTAACCAGAATATATATAAATTAGTTGATTGTGGATTTGCAATCATTCTTTGGCATAGTTGATGCACTTATAATTAGAGATATTTTATTTAAAAAATCAGAGAGAAAATATTCCGAAAAATCTATATTTACATATATAATTTTATTATTTTTTTTTTTTTATAAGTGAATAATTTATTAATTTGATCTCTTATCATGTAGCAAAATATATTTTATATATATTATAAAATTAGAAACAACAAATTTCGATTGTAGTATTAAAATTTGTTGAATTAATTAGTTAATTGCAAAGAAAAAAAAAAAAATATATATATATATATATATTCTGCTCAAGAAACATTTCTATATTATATTATATATTATTTACATGAAAAAAAAAATGTAAAAAGCGATACCTAATCAGAAAAGAGCCTTTAATAATACTAATAAATTGAAACAATATAAAAGCCTCACAATTATTTTTCATTTGTCCCATCATATATCTACATATATATGATATATCTATAGATGTACTTGCATACATATATAAAGATTTATCACTTAGCAAACAATTTCATATTATCAAAATCACACAGCCACGCACACATGACTTTTTACGTTGAAAACTTTACCATTGAAAATTTTCGCAATCACATTAATTCTTTTACCGAAAAGTGAAAAGCAATAGAAAATCCCTCAAGGCCATATTTGTCCAGCCATTTAGTTGTTCTTGTTGTTGTTGCTGGCGAAAATGAAGAAAAACGTAAAAATAGACGCCGAAAGGCAAACACCGCATAAAAAAGTAAAGGCACAATATATGTACAAAAAAACAAACAGCAAGAGCATTGCGATCGGGTGTAACAGACTACGGAATACAGAACCTGTAGCATTGATTATAAATGGGCCTTACATTATGAATAGGCATTGGATTATATACTAAACGATACAAAAGTAATCGAAGTTTGTATTTTAGCTGTGGAACTGCGGCCGAAATTGTTTTTCTTGATTAGGCCAACGTTCGTAATTATTGATTATGCTGTTAGAGAATATAAGTGAAATCTAGCCATCTCAAACATTCTTAACCTTACTTAATGTAATACATATAATTAGGAGCATATTTAAATCATTCAAGATACAATAGCAGATGAGCCTATATACCCATTTGCACGTTCACAGCGAGTATGAAAATATGAAAAGAAAAGAAAAGGAAAAACTGCGATATATGCGATATAATAAATCTTTAGTATAACACGCAAAACTTTATGAACGTGCGCCAACTATAAACTTTCGCTTTTCGCAAAATGCTGGCCGTTATATTTCTTCTTCTACTCGGTATTTTTTTTTTCTTCCTTACTTCGTTGCGTATACGCCAGGCTGCACATGTTTTTCTTTTATTTATTATCATTATTATTTTACTATGTGTGTGCGAGCCTTTTTTGTTTTATATAACTAGTATTATTTTTAGTTTGGCACACATATTTGCAATATGCTTTGTACGTGCAGCATTTGAGTTTTATAATGAAGCGTGAGAGAGAGAGAGGTACTTTTGTATGCTATTAAAAAAGTAAAAATAGATAATACAAATTTAATTTACTTCACCGAGTGCTAGTAATTTATTTTTAGCTAAAAAATTCTTTATATAGATTTTACTTATAAATATTTTTTTCTCTTTTGGTATAAATTTTTAACATTTATTTTTATTGAGATACTCTAAACTCATAGACAAGTTGAAGAAAAAAAATTTCTATCAATATTTGAAACCCTCGCAGCTGCAAGTGCATCAAGGATTTGCCAGTTGGACTTTATAATTTAGAATGAATTCCCATACATAGCCATAGACAGATGCATATATTGCTGTCTATGTGTGTGTGAACTGTGGCATATTAGTTGGCATTGCATTTGGAATATGTGTTGCATGCTTTTAGGCGTCGCTGACAAGCAGCGCTCGGGCCGCATCCTGTGCGTGGCTGCCGCTCCATTTCTGTCAAAGTTTTTGATGTGCAGGCGTGTTCTCGCAAAAGGAAGACAACACAAAAAGCGTGTAAAAGCATATATATAT